CAGAGGGACCACGCAAAGATGCCCACAGCCCACGGGGTTCTGTCTGAGCGCACAAAAGCCGCACACAAAGCGCTCTGATTCATGCTGGATGCACACAGACACGCACAAGCAACCGAGTGAAAAGCCTTCTCTACATTGTTTCCAAACAATATCAATACAGCTCACACGTCAGCCGGGCCCCGCACACTTGGTACTTACAAGAGGGTTTGCTGCGTCCGTCTGCTGCCGGAGCCGGGATGGGTGATTGTGACTCGGAGGGAAAGGTGCATGGAGATGTGCAGAGAGGCGAGAGCGATGGGAAGAAGGGCCCCGGCCCCTCTTTGGGCCCCAGAGCAGCAACACTTGCTCACGGGACGGAGCGCAAAAAGGCTGGCATTCCTACAGCAGCAAGGACAATGGGGAGGGATGAGGAGACACTGCCATAATCAAATGCAGGCCAGCTGGCCCTCCCCCAGGAAGGGCAGGCACCTCCTTCAGTTGCCAAAGGCTTTGTTTTCTAAGCCACAAAGAACAAAGTGGCTGAGGAGGAGAACACAGGAGAACCCACTGTGGGGGCAGGTCCACCCAGAAGCACAGGTAACCCATTCCTGGAGATGAAAACACAGATGGAGAAGGGTTGAGCAATATTCTGCCCACTCCAAGCAGAAGTCAGAAGCAGCAGCTCCTCGAGTGCAGAAAAAGCCCAGGGAACCAGACAGACAACCAGGGAACAAGAATCAGCAGAGGCTGATGATCAGGGGTCCTTTGAGGGAAAAGATCCAAAGGAAATAGACAGAGACCACCACTGAAGGAATAGCTCATGGAACAGAGCCCTAAGAAATCCCAAGAAATGGGAAACCCTACCATTTCTCAACCCACCTTGCCCCACCAATCCTCAGCAGTGAGAACTGAAGATGAACCACTTCCCTCAGAAAGCAAACATAAGGCAAGGACTCAAGCTGCAAGAGACTCACAAGGTATGGCAGGGCAATGACCACACTTTCCCTGAGCACCAGTGAGGCACCATCTTGCACAACATCCAGAGAAGCAGGAAAAAGCCCCCAGAGCTGCCTCAGGCTCTCCTGTAATGATACAGGCAGTTCAGCTCCACATCACCACACGGCCACAGGGCATGCAGGTGCTGTGCCTTCATGGGACACTGCCCGTTCTGGTTGGGTCAGTGCTTTCTTCCACTTGTGCCAGCAAGGATCATGCACCTTCACTCCTGACCTTCAGCAGGACTGGTTGTCATCCCAGACCTGGTAGAGACTGTCCTGTGTGCTCTGGCTCACTGGACATGCTGCTGCAAGTAAGGTGCTCAGTCCTGACAGGGCACATGGCTCTCACATGGGCCATTTCAAACATGCAGTCCAGGTAACCTGCACTTCACTTATGGTAAAGGCAACAACATGGGATATAAGAGTGTTCTGGGAAATAATTCGCCCAGAGAGAGCTTGAGGAAGGAAAAAATATGAAGACTAATGAAATAAACAGGGAGAGGAAGACTTGCTGTGGCTGCTCCTGGTCTTGATGGTGTACCTGTGGCAGTGTTATTGTGAAACCAGGACAGAGAGCAGGAGAAAAGATACTGGGGACTGTCCTGCAGGAACCCCAGAACAAAACAGACATCAGTGCTTTTGGTGCACCATACATACCCTTGCTTGTTCAGCTGCCCAGTTTTTCCCCAAAGCACTGTATGGTGCCAGATCCCAGCGCAGTCTTGGAACTGAGTAAACAAGGGACAGTGGCCAAACCAGGCTTGAAGCCACAGGGAGATGGCAGGACCCTGAATATACCCACACTGACTTTGTGGTACTGAAAAGCAATCCTTCAGCCCACAGCCAGAGGTGGGGAAAGCAGCTTCCTTCACTGGTCCTCCTGCCTCAGCCCAACCATCATCCACCCCCCGGTCAGGCACCAAGGGCTCCTGCCACAAAGGAAGCGGGGACAAATGGAAACATCCAGCTTGGCACCAGTCATGTCTTTGGGGAGGGATCCCTGCCAGCCCATGTGCAAGCTCCATGTGGTCTGGCCCAGCTCAGCCTGCCTCATTGCAAGGAGCTCTGACAGACCTTCAGGAACTGCCAAGCAGTGAAAAAAACCAGTACAGCATCTTGATGGGGCATATGGGGTTATGCTGTCCTGTTCCACGGCCTGTCCGGCAGCCACAGGCAGCGTCCTACAAAACACTTGCCCACCACATGCAGGAGAGCCAGCAAAACAGGGCCTCCCATTCCCAGCAGGCAGTGAGGTACGTGAGGGATGAACAGCAGGATCCCCATGGTGGGTGTTCCACTCCCTTGGAGCATGCTGAGATGTTTGGAGATCTGAGCTTGCCAGCTCATTACCATAGTGTACGTTGCTTACGCATCCTTGGGCTTCTTCCCCAGATCCTGGGGTTTGGCACTCTGCAGGCTCTTTACGAGAAGGAATATCAAGGACATTGCTTATTGCAGACTCCTGCTGTAGATATGCCCTCAGATATTAGGGAAGAGAGAAGGGAGTTAGGCAGGCACTGACTAATCAATGCAGGAAGGCCAAAAGCAGCTCAGTATCAGAAGACAGTGAAATCAGTTTAGGTAAGATCTTCTGCTTATCCCCAGACCACACCACTAACTTTGCTTTGGGAAGGCAGAAAGCATTCTGGAGATCAAGATCAAACTCATAGGCACTGAAAGAACTTTCATGCTGTGCAGCAATTTCTGCACTGATCCTACAGCTGCAGGATGTATCCCCCTACACTCCTTGTTTCAGTTGGCCACTGGTTCACAATACACACATAGTATATTTACACCACCAGGATTGTTTATAACTCTACTGAAACCAGTGAGATCAAAATCCTCCTCCCTCCCTGAACCAGCTGCCTGTCCTCCACACAAACCAGTGTGAAAACACACTGTACCACTATAATTTTGTTTTTATTGGGGCCATGGAGCATGAAAGGCACAAGCAAGAGGGCTGCTGCTGCTGCCAAGGACTGCATCCTGGAGTTTTCATCCCCCAAAAAAGAAGCTGTAATGCCCTTAGAAAATTAATGGGGTCTATGTAGCATTTGTGTCCCTAGAAATGACCCAGGCTCTGAAAATGCTTTGAAGCTGTGGAGGAACACACTGCTATAGAGTCATGTCCAACTATCCTGGCAGCCCAAGAGCTACCAGCACAATGTAACTTCCATGCCAGAACAGAGCACTGAGCAGCCTGGAAGCTTTGGGGAGACCTTAGAACACCATGCAGAACCTGAAGGGGCTCCAAGAGAGCTGGAGAGGGACTTTGGACAAGGGCATGGAGTGACAGGATAAGAGAGAATGGCTTCAAACTGACAGAGGGCAGGATCAGATCAGATATTAGGAAGAAATTCTTCCCTGTGAGGGTGGTGAGACCCTGGCACAGGTTGTCCAGAGAAGTTGTGGTTGCCCCATTCCTGTAAGTGTTCAAGGCCAGGATGGGGGCTTGTAGCAACCTGGTCTAGTGGGTGGCATCAGTGCCTGCAGCAGGGAAGTTAGAACTGGATGACTCCTTTAAAATCCCTTCAAGCTCAAACCACTGTACAGTTCTATGATCATGTGCTACAATCCACATTTGTGCTCCAGAGACTTCCAGCTCTGGCTGGAAGGGTTCACATACAACCAGTGTTTGGCTTGGCTGCAGAATTGTCACTATGCCAAGCAAGGCTTGGTGCTTTTGTGTGCCTCAATTTACCAGAAGAAACATGAGAAAACCCTTGCCAGGATCCTTCCCAGGATCCCCCATGATGGCAAGGGGTGTTCAAGCACCAGAGCAGCCCCTGAACATCTCTCTTCAGTGAGGCAGAAAAGCACAGGTTCTTGCCATTCTCCTATGGCACAGGAGGCAATTCTCTCTCCATTGGGGTGAAAAAAATATTACGTATTTCCACATCAAGAGGGTCCCCCACCTGCAGAGCAAATTGCAGAGATGAGCCAGGGCAGACCTGCAGAGCATCACCAAACAAACTCAATCCTCATTGCCCTGACAGCAGTGTTTTGGGTTGCCTTCTCCACTCTTCTGCCTCACACAGGATGCTTTTCCATGCTTTCATGTTTAGCTGAATTTCCTCCCTCCTCCCCTGAGCACTTCTGGCTGCCAAGGCAGCTCAGAGACAGCAACTAAGTGGCACCTACATCTGGTACAGCTTAACTTTTAGTGTCTATTCTTTCTGGAATTTGAGAACTTCAATACCCAATGTTTGTACAAGTGTGGAATAAATGGAGCCAGGCTCCCTGGCTTTCTGTTCTTGCCAAAGTTGTATTTTAAAATGCACTTAGAAAATCCTACTGCTTTTTCATCTGCAACTTTAGAAATTAAAGAACACCAAATCCATCTGCAAAGCTGCTAAATGGGTGCATTTGCACTAAACCAAACAGGTGGGAAGGTCAGGCACTCAGCACAGTCACCACACACATCCTCTCCTCCTTCTTCCCAGATCCCTGTGATGATCCAGGGATCCCTTGTTCCCTCAGCCACATTTCCCAGCCCTCCATTCTGGTTCTCCCTTTCCTCATGCAGGCCTCCACATGGGAGGAGTTGGACTGTATTCAGGACTGACAAGCAGGGTGCTACTCCTGATAGATCAACAAGCTGAGTTGGCCAGTGTGTAAGGATATAGCAGGAAAATGCAGGCAGCCTACCCTGGGCATGGTGGCCAGGACTGGACACAATCAGCCCATCTCTTGGCCCTTGTCATCAGAGCCAGCACTGCCATAATCCTTCTGCCCACTGTTGCCATGAAAGGGGTTAAAAAGCTCCAGCTCAGAGAACAGAAAACCTCTATGCTTAACAGATGTGGACACTTTTTGGAAGACACACCCACCTCTTCTCCCACATACTGATTTGAAAAAAATCACTGCAGACACATGAGCATGAGGGAACTGCTGCAGGTTACAGATCCAGCTCCCTGATGGAACAAATACTACATTTCACACCTTTCATAAACAGTCTAGCACTGGACTGAGTCCAAGCAGACTCTTTACACTCTCCTCTGTGCAGCAGATGCCTTGTCTTACCTTGTCAAAGAATTCAAACAGCCTGACTGTTTCACAGACTCGGTGCCTTGTTTCATCCAGCTGGGTGCAGAACTCCTCCAGCTCATCTTTGTAGGTCTGCAGCTTTACCCTGTAAGAATGTACATCCACAAAGGAAAAGTCCTCCCATTGAGTCATCTTCTTTAATGCTTCCTGTCCCCTTTTGCAATATTCCTGAAAACAAAAAGGAATTGCTCATGAGGATAAAGAGCTGGAATCAACAGTAAGTAGTCTTCAAGGCCATTAACAGCTAGGGCTACTAACTAGACCAGTTTTTAAGGTATAAATCACATAAGCAGGGGTGTCTTTGTTTACAGCAGAATTTTGAAGCCTGATCTCTTATGATTTACACTTGTCACACAGCAGCTTGTAAAGGCCTACCCAGCAGACCATGGCTCAATTAGGATCAGAAAAAGGCAGTGTCACAAGCACATCAAAGGAGGAACAAATAAATCCATCTTTCAACCCAGTAGTTATTTTCCCCAAGACTGGTAAATGCCATCTACTAAGTGTTGGGCTGGTGGCTTTGTCTGCAAAAGCAGAGCAGGGAGATTATGTAGTGAGAGGGAAAGACACACACTTTGTTGATGAACCCTCTTAGCACCATATGTTTGGTTGGACACATATAAGACACACATGCTACCAACTCAGATGCTGGAGAATATAATTTTCCAATCTGACAACACTTACACTGGCAACAAGATCAAACTCCTTGAACTGCTTTTGTGCTTGAAGCAGCATCTCCAAAGAATCATCCAGGTTGACAGCTTCCTTTAGCCGTTTTCTGCCAACATTCTCAATCCAACTGCTGACCTAGAAGAAAAGGGATAAGCCCTGCTTGTTAGTCACCCTGTGCTACTCACCAACGTAGGCCTTTATGTGGAAAGAGCAAGGAACTGCTCTCATTATGCTGGTCACCTCGTTACTGGAAAGAATGAGTGTAGACTTCTCCCCCCATTCCGGCATTTCAGTCGGAGCCTCCTGCTCAGAGTTTTTCCACTTCAGGTTACAGAGTAATTGAAAAGCTCTGCTATTGCTCACTAGCCTAAGGCATAAACAGGGCAAGTGGCTGCCTGGGCTCTGTTTTGGGTGAGCCATGGTCTAAAGCAAGCTCTGCAGCTTGCACACTGGCCTGACATTGCTATTATTGTTACCCCCAGTTGGGATCAAATCTCCTTGCTGCCAGATTTCCTACATCACTTCCCTTTTCTGACTGGCAGGACGTGAACCACGTCAGTGTGAATGTATTGATGGCTTCTCCCCATCTGCAATGTTTCCAGGTTCTCTGGGACTCTCAGCTACTGGTTTTCTGAAGGCAGCACTCCACAAAGCTGAGCAGCAACTGCATGTTCCTCAGTGAAGCCCAGCTACTGCTGCAGTTATCAGCCCATATCCTCAAAGAGGGGTAGAGGACTGACTAACAAGAGTATCCTAAGAGCAAAACAGTCATAGGAGGCCGGGCAGGATAACACAGCATCTCCATCATCACTAGGTTTTAAAAACAGGCTGGTAAACTTGTCTGCAATGCTCCAGGCATAGATGCACCTGGGGGAAGGGACAGGCTAAGTGCTTCCTAACACCCACACATCCTGTTTTCCTATGTCACCTGAATCCATACCCCAACTCAACCCCACAGTCAAGGACAAACTCCTACTTTTGTGGGCTGTGGGAAGATTACAAGGAGCAAGCCCACTGGCAAGAGGAAGAGATAGTGGAGGGTTGTCAGTACTGCAGAGGGACACACTGCTGCTGCCTAGAGCTCCCAGGCAGGCTTAACAGCAGGAACAACTCCTGCCATCATTGGTGATCCACAAGCAAAGTAACCTGGGAGCAGTTGAATGTTACTCAATTCAAGAAAAAATTAAATTCAGCTTAAAGCAGAAACAGGTTGCAGTGCTTGCTTTTGTGCCTTTTAAAATTTCTGTTTGGTAGTAGGAACCTGTGTGTTTAACAAGAGTCTCTACCAGGTTCTTGCAACACACTTCTTGTCCTGAGCACATCCTGCATGGCGCCCCAGTGTCTACCTGCAAATGGGAAGTCATTAAAAGTCCCAGATCCACCTTGGCCTGTGAAAACACTAGGTAGGCTACAGCCTCCTTTGCAAATCCAGTTCCCACTAGAGGAGAGGAGCCCAGAATCCCAGAACAGCAATGGTGAAACCGATCCTAATCATGATTTTTAAGGACAAACAAACTTCTCATTGTTGATGAGTTATAGCACAGGAAACAACTGACTCCATAATCTCAATGTTGAGTTCAGGCTTAGGGATCTGCAACATGGAACATCTGGGATCTGCAACACTGAAAGGACTGATCAGCTCTTGTAGGATGCTCAGACCTGAGCTGCTTTATGACTTTCTGAAGTCCTCTATCAACATGGCTACAGGTTTCAGAGGTCTTTCTGAAAGCAGTGCCTGTTTGCTTCAGTTTTCCCATGGCTGTCAAGAGTTTCAACAAGCACTAAACGAAGGGAAGTTGAAGGTCCCCCTGAAGTGCAGCAGGTGGGAGGTTGAGCATGGCTCTTGGGCTAAGGACAAGAAGCTATTCCCTTCCTGGAGCCTGTGAAGAGGGCTGCACCCAAAGGCAAACCGAGTGTGCCTGGTGCTGCACCCAGAGGGGAAGGAGTGTGCCTGGACTTATCAGATATCAGGGACCTGAGAACAGCACAGGAATCTAAACAACAGACTACACAACTGGGATGGGCAGCCAGTGTGGGGCAGGGATATTCTGCAACAGGATGTCAGCAAACCCTGCAGGAGCTACAGCCCAAAGGGGACATGTGGACTTATCAGCTTGTTGACATCGCTCTGCTACTTCTCAAGGTGAAGTATGAAGAATGCCTCATCAACCCTCGCTGAGAGGGTCAAAAAAGACACCCAACCTCCAAGTGTACAGCTTATCTACTAGTCACTCCACAGATGTTTATGGGGTTTGACTAATCCACACCTAGAGAGAAGCCAAGGGACTTTCACTTGGCATCAAGAGACACCAGGCAAATAAGTGGCTTGATTCTCAGTACTGCTGAAACTCTATCTCAGATTCTTATGTTCAGTTGTTCTTTTTAAGCACCAATCATCACTGTACACCTTCACACAACAGATCAACAGGCCCAGTACCTGCTGTGGAACACACAGTCAGAGGGCAGCAGCCACTGGAACTAACAGGCAGGCCTTACCTCCTTAAGACACTCTTCCACCTTCTCGAACTCCATCACCAGCTCCAGTTCCTGGATGCGCTTGTTTGACAGCATCACCAGGCGGTGAACGCCCTCATCAACTTGATTATAAAGCACGCTGGCAGCGTCGAGTGCATCTCTGCAAGGGGACACAGGTCTGGTCAAGGGTTTTGCATTAGGTCCTTCCCCCAGCACTTCATGCAAACACAACCTGGCCAACAACAGCACTCCAGTCATCCTCCCCGTGGGACCCACACAGGCCATCTCCATATGGAGAACAGAAGAGAATATTGCTGCTCCTTGCACATTACCATGATTCACCACTCTGACCCCAGTGCAGATAACCTGGCAGGAAGGACAAGAGCATATCCTCCCAGCCAGGCTCCTTGCAAGATTTACCATATTTCTCACACTTTCAGCTTTTCATAAACGTAGATCCTTCCATCAATGAATTTTCACAAAACACAGGGTCAAGCAGTTTCAGCGTCTAAAACCACCATTTGAATTTAATTAAGTAAATAAGCCACCACTAGTAAGCAAATCTCTCCTGAGTGACAACAACAATATTAAGTGCCTGATGCCCCACTTACTCTCAGGATTTCCACCAAACAAATATGCAAAATGTACAACAGCTCAGTGCCAGGAGAAATCAGATTTTACAGTGTTGTGCTGAAGAGATTCATAGACTGAGCTCCCTACCTCCCACAGGCAGCCGTGCTGACCAAAGCCCAGCAGGCAACACCAGGAGGCACTCTCCCTGCCAGCCTGCCCACATCACACAGGCAAGCATGGAGGGGGTCAGGATACAGCCCAGTGCCCTCAGATGCTGCAACCACAGTCTTTGTAAAATGATTAGTATTAGCAAACTCCTTTTACATGTGGGCAACTCCTCTCCAGCACAGGCTTGGGTGAATCACAGATGGGATCCAGGAGACAGAAGAGCATTCAAGCTTATTCTTCTCGTATTTCTTTTGCTTCTAGGTTTCCCCTCCTACAATTATGGGCTCAAGAGACAGCTACAAGAAAACACTACAGCCTCCTTCAGCTGTGCTCTACACTGGCATGTTCAGCTGCCGGGTCATCTCCTGTACTCACCCTAAACTAATTTTCATTTCATCATCTTACAACCTCCTGACTTATTAGTGTGTGGTTTTTTTTATCATATTATTAAAATTATCTAAAGCACTTGCAAAATAGCTAATACATAGCTAATATTGCTAATGGAATAGAATTCAAAACAATTCAGATATATGTTTATTTCTGTCTGGGTTTACAGGCAATCTTGAACCTATGAAATGCAACCGAATGTGAATGTTTAGTAGCAGCCATCCTGTAGTTTTAATTGACACGAGGTAGCGCCATAGGTCTGGACAAGCAGCTCTGCATAGCAGAAATCCACACTATTTTTCCATTCAGGATTCCACCCAGTGTGCAACAGCCAACTCCTCAAACCTCAGACTCTTAGATACTTTTGTTTTTCCTCTTAGAAATGTCATTAGACTGAATTAATTTCTCCAAAGTGCAGCCAAAAATACTCGAATAGTTTCTGGACTAAGATCAGTGCTACTGCAGTACAGAGCAGACAGGTTCTCTGCAGAGAATCTGCAGGCTTCAATGGAAAGATCCAAGCTGTAACGCTGCTCTGGCGTTTCCCAAAACTGCCATAAACAAACAGTGATGATATGAGCCTTCTGTTTTGTAATCCTTTCCTATGGACAGACCCAGATCCAACCCAGGAGACTCCCAGCAGCAGAGTCATAATCATTGTCCAAGCTGAGCTCTGGAAAGTGTTTACAGAGCAGGTTGTGGAGGCCAGTTCCCGTCAGCAGCAGCGACACAGCTGGGACAGCTAATGAGAAACAGTTTGGACGACGGCTGCAAGTTAAATTTGGCAACACCATTAATGCTGCTCGGTTTTGTGCAGCAGAGCGAATCTGTCAAGTCCCATTTTCTGAGTTAAGTCTCCAGCATACTGATGGCCAGACAGGCAGACACCCTTTGGCCTCACTCCCACAGGGCTGAATTCCCTGCTGGCATGAATGCTCTCATCCAGTCAGGAAATGGATACAGCAAACACTCTTCCTCCCGCTGGCACAGACAATCAAGCACCTATGACTTTAGGCATTCCAGGCTGCTCTATGCAAACATTTTCAATTACCCCCCCATGAGGCAAAATATTTTTCGAACCTTTCCCTGAGCTTCCATGGAAATCACTTTGGTGTTGATGCTACTTCTTTGATGGCACTCATCAGCAAGCCAGACTGACCTGCTAGACCTTTCTGTAATAGGAGTCCTTGTGTCCACCCAAGCCAGTGACAAAGCGAGCATCCGTGGCTTCAGCACTTAACGAGGTATTGTCAGATGGAACCTGATGACACAGGGACCTGAGACAAGGGTTCCAGCTCTAGCATTGCCTGACCCAGCACAGAGTATCATCTGATTAGGGGACGGGAGCCAGGGAGTCCCACTCTGCCCGTTTCCATACCTGACAGAGGAAACAACCCCCACATTGTCCTAAATCTGAGTAGTTTTCCTTGACACAAGTCAGTAGCGACTTGGGCTGCAAGGCCTAACAAATACTACAGATTCTAGCAGAGCAGACTGCACATTTCCCAAAGGCACAAAACACAGGCCTCCCTGAAGACAGCACTGCAACTATGGGAGGGAAAAATCACCCTCAAGGTAGAGGGATAGGAAGTGGTTATAAAAAAAGGTTAAAAACCCCCACATTTCAAGTTTTTTTTAAAACAGAAATAGTTGTACCATAAAATCACTGTGTAAAGAGGCTAATTCACTGAGCCATTGTGGAAAAGACCAGTCTCTTGGAGACCACTTGAGACCAGTGCTGGCCTTATGGACAGCAAACCCCTCCAGGGGAAGTTAGGTTCAAAACTGCAGCAATAAAATACTCCTGCTGGCCCACCAACCACAGTCCAAGGAACCCACTGCAGGAGAAATTAACTCTTATCAGTAATTTGGATTGTTTGGGGTTATATAAGACAAAATCCCTTACTCTTGTCATTTAAAGGACTTTTTTTCCTCTGTGAATGCTTGCAGCAGGCTATTGATGCTATTATCAGCCACAATTCAACACTCTAAGGCTGCCCCTTCTCATGGTCCTGCCAATGGTTTCCTGAGCGACTGCAAACAACATGCACAGAAAAAATGTTTCCAAACAGCTCCTCTGGGCTCAGAGTCCCCAAACAACTTCAGGTGTGGCCTTACACCATTCCTGCTCCTGAGTTCCTCCAGCATCCCAGCACCTCAGCTCTTTGTCTCAAGGACCAGCCACGCTGTTTTCACATGTTCTGCCTCACTTGGCAGGCATTCATTAAACCCTCAATGTCTAGTTGTTGGTTTTCTGTTGCATCTCCAAGGTAACTCCATTCAGATGTTGTCAGCCCCTGACAGTTCACTTTTACCAGCTGGACAGGCTCTCTGACTAACATCCATCTTCTACTCTCCTACAGAGGAAAATATAAGCCTTTCCATGCTGTAGTATAAAGCAGGTAGGCAAACTGAGCCCAACAAAGAAATCACTCACAGTCCATGGGAAAGTTTGTTTTTCTGATTCACTTGGGCACTTGAGTGCTCACAGGGAGGATCCACTGGGCATTAAGCCTGTTCTCCCAAACCTCTGTACATCTGTTTATCTGTTTACACACACACCCCCCCATTTGCTGATCTAGATCTTAAAAACTTCCTAAGTTATTTCCAGAACACTGGTCAACTCCACAATATCCTGAAACAGGGAGTTTTATGGGGAAAATGATACTTCACACAAATATCTATTTCTTTTCCAGCTTCAGACTCAGAAGTTTTTAATTCCTGTCCTTCAGTACCTTCACAGCAGCTTGGAGTAAACAAACCAAATACTGAAAATTTGGTTGAAGAAAAAAGTTACTTCCATCCTGGCACACAAAGAAAACACCTGGCTGTTTAGGACTTTAAAGATATTTTAATAGTGGCCTGTGCAACTCTGAGCACAAAAGGCAGAGCTGTTTGAAGTCAGTGGAAAGTCTCCTTTCAGCTCAGATTTGTGTGGATGCAATGCAATTTCCCTGCACATGGGAGTGTGGTATTAAGAGTCTTTCACTACATTCTTCCATGGTCAAATCATCAAAAGCAATTTTGCAATAGTGCAGAGTCAATATAATTTATAGCAAAAAGGAGTAGCTTGATGTCAGTTTATGTTTCCCCAAATCCTGTTTTCATTGGGCAATTATCATTTCAGTGGAAAAGGTTCCAAACGTCTTCAGCTTTCTGGAGAAGTGCCAAGCTGTTGTATAATGGTAGGATAATTTTAAACCTATAATTTAGAAAGACCATTTCTGTCTGAATCCATTCTTCAAAAAAAGCCAGCCTTGGAGAGTTACACTTTAGTTTTCAAAGCAAAATACCTGTTTTGTTTTTAAAAAATAGATGGCCACAGAAGAAGCATCCAGCAGAGTCACAAAAGCAGGTGCTGCCTGCACCAAGCCTGCCAGTGTCAGCGAGATGCAAACAGGAGAGCACAGGGAAGGGAGCAGCAGAACCATCACTACTCTGCACCTTCCTGCCTGCCCCTTCAAGAACTGCTTTGACAACCAGCAAGAATAGTAGACCTAACAAAAGGGCTGAAATCAAGAGTTCATCCTCTGACCAGCCTTGGCAATTTTAAAATGGCAAAAATTCATGGATGGAAGAAATACTACATGTTGGTAGTGTATTAGGTGGGGTTTGGGCAAGTATAGGGCAGCTAACTTGTTCTGGGAAAATCAGATATCCTTAATTGATTTGTTGTGTAATTTAGAAGAAATACAGTTGGATGTTACAACTAGTCTTCCACTCTCTTGGTGCTGAACTTCCTTTGTTCCCTTGTGGATGTCCATACAGGTTTTAGCATAAAATGAAGAGGATCTAGAAATTAGGAGGTTTTTAAAGGATGAATTAGCCCAAGGACATCATCCAGATCATGTGTGCTGATACCTTGGCTACAAATCACTTAAAACATCCTGAGCAATGCTTCTGGAAGAAATCCTTCCAGATCTGCAGGGACAATGCTGTGTGCCTGAGGGATGTTTTGCAGGATGAGAAATGTCACTCTTGGTCATCACTGCATTTTGGTAGTAACCTACATAAGGGCCATATTTATAATGA